TAGTTTATAAGCACAGTAGCACACACATGCTTGAGCAGTCACGCAACACAAACACTCGCAAATTTGTATTAAATAAATCTGAGAATGTACACTAAATTATTACACCGTTATGACCAACAGTGTAGACAATTCCGTTGTTGTCTGCACCATCACCCGCTGTCACAACACATCCCATTTCAGGATATCTTAGAGAAGCTGCTTCTGGGATTACCTCACCAAGATTCACGAATGATATTTAATATGATATGGGTACATGATTGCAATCAATTTCCGTAGCGTGGTTAGTTGGGTCAGTAAGGGCTAGTAACTTCTTGGTAAGGGTGTGCAATTAGCCCAAAGGGTTAAAGATAAAGATCAGTTATGGTCATGCGATTGCATTGTGAAAGAAACATTGTGGAATCGATCAGAAAAGGTTGATCATCTAGCACACGGGTGGCCAACCTTTTAAAGCTCGCGGGCCTCAGCTAACGATTGGCATAACTTGGCGGGTCGTAGGTAATCTCCCCCCCCCCCCCCCACACACACACTCATGCAATACGTGTACACAACTGCAATTTTGAAGAAAAAAAACAAGCAAACAACAAAATCAGTGAGAAAAAAAACATGCTTACGTTTTTAGTGCGATTTCTGGGGCTTGAACTTTTCTGTTATGTTGTTAACCTTCATTATTATACTCTGGTGACAAGTGAGGAGATTATACACGGGCAAGCAATTCAAGAATTTCTGGAATGTACTCCGAGAGTAGCGAGAGCCACAGAATACGGCTTTAGCGGGGCAGGCAGCTAGCCCAAAGGGTCAAATACGATCTGGGCAACCGTGAAATACTTCGCTTGTCCTGGCATATAGGGATTGAGGATGTCTTAATCAAAGTTATATTCACGGGCAAGCAATTTAAAAATATATATATATACTCCATGAGTATAGAGGGCTTTAGAAAATGCCTCGCGGATTGTACTTAACCCTTTGGGCTAGCTGCCTGCCCCGCGTAAGCCGTGAGGCATTTTCTATAGCCCTCTATACACAGGGAGTACATTTAAGAAATTCTTGAAATGCTTGCCCATGAATAGTCTTGAATCGCACACCCTTAAGCCCCATGGGCCAGGGCAAGCGAAGTATTTTTTGGGTTGCCTTGACCGTGTTAGACCTGTGGGGCTAGATGCCTGCCCCGCTAAAGCCGTCAGACTATTTGAATAACAAATATCGAATTTTAGAATATGAATGTCGAATATTCATCCAACTTCACAATTTGAATGTGAATATGAATATCCAAGCAACTTCACATAGTAGACGCGTATATGCGAGCTAGCTATATACGTGGATCGAACAGCTAGCTAGCCTTGTGCATGGGCGCGCGTTCTCGGTTAATTTTTGCGCAAGGACACCCTCTCTTGTCCTCTTATTGTCAGTATGTTTGCGTTTTTGATAATATATTTGTATTTGATAGTATAATTTTAGGAGCGGGCATATCGTGTTTATAGTAGAGTTAATTTCAGTCGTTATCTACCTTTCTAAACTTCTGTTCTGGGGTTGTCTTAGTCTCTGAAGCTTTCTTCAATTCCGTGGCCGTCCTTGTTTCTGCAGTCATCTTTATTTAACTTTATTTCTGCAGATATCTTTATCTCCGAAGCTTTCATCTTTATAATTCTGTGGTTATCCTTAATTCTGCAGTTATCTCTAATTCTGTTTTTTTTTCTGCATTCATCTTTAATTTATGTGGTTGTCTTTGATTGTGCAGTTATTTTTAATTCTGTGGTTTTGTTTTTATTTCGGCAGACATGAATTCTGTGCTTGTCCTTATTTCTGCAGACATTTTTATGTCCGAAGCTTTTTATATGATTCAGAGGTTGTCCTTATTTGTGCAGTTATCTTTAATTCTGAAGTTTTCTTCATTCCTGCGTTATATTTATTTCGAAAGTTAATTTATTTTTGTAGTGATCTTAAATTGAGAGATTGTGTTTATTTTTACATTATCTTCATGTCTATTTCTGAATCTTTGTTATTTCTATCATTGTTTGTTTAATTTCCTTTATTAATATTGACCCTTTCAAAAAATAATGGTTTCATTTTGGCAGGTTTGCAGTTCAGTGAAAGATTCATTTGTTAGGGGTATTTTATGACATTTTGTTCTAAGATGGGGGAGGGGGGGGGGTAGCTATTAATTTTAAAAGAAAATCGAATCATATTATTTGTGTACGATAGTGTGTTAAGTGGAAATGATTAAAACCCCAATACTTTGACGGTTATACAATATTCAGATTTCCTTACTATGTGATAGAAACAATTTCCCGGACATAATTTTCATAGTCAGAGTACATAGGTGAGCATTGGTAAAGCAAGCTCCCTCTATCGCTAGGTTATATTTATTCAGAGTGTATTTGTGGTATTTAAATTTCTAATGTTCTTTATAGAAAGACATTAGAAATTTAATGAGTACATTAAACAGCCACTAACTCAGAAACATACAAAGCAAACTACTGTTCCTCTTTGCTAACCTTTTCCCAACCGCATAGCATTATTTGGTTTCAAATCATAATGCGAAATCATTACAATGGATTGTCTCTATTTAGGGGTTACACATACAGTTTAATACAATTTCACAGCAACCAATAGCAAAGTAGGAATGAATGCTATACTTAGCAACAAAATGCAAATTTCTAAATGTAATGGAGTCTGACCACTGCTGTGCAAACAAACGCCTATAATATAACCACGATAACACTACAACTTAACCGACTAGGAATCCATCTCTGTTCATTATGATTAAATAAATATATCATATACAGATACATATTTGCAATCTACAGGATACATATACGGGTAAGCCTGAATCCGATTATGATTGCAGGCAGTGGCGTACGCAGGATTTTTTCAAGGTTTTTTTAAAAAACATTTTTCAATCGGGCCGAAATTTTTCGCAACACCTCAGCCAGCCGCTGAATAAGCGGGGGGGGGGGGGGGGGGAGGGGGGGATAAGCCTTTACACACACAAAATAAAAAGATTTGTTTGTTGTAATTACAATTTTGTTTAGGGGGAGGTGGTCATCTAAAATCACACATACAAAAATTGATGGGGGGGGGTTCAACCCCCAACCGCTGCGTACGCGCCTGATTGCAGGGCCCTGATGAGGCTACCCTTGTTAAACAAGACATATTACTATTAAATGCATGTACATTTTTTTAAAGAAGTATAACATAATCCCATCGTAAATAATATGCGCTAAAATTTTTAAGAAAATAGGTTATGAATACACTGAAATATTATGTGCATGTATTTTATACGATTAACAAACAATTGATAGCGATTTGTATACAAGTGTCTCAAATTGGTTTTCTTAGGTAAATAATTCAAGCTTCACTTCTGCATTCTCAAAATCTTTACGAGACTGTATTCAGATTCCGTACACTATGACATTGGAAAATAATTATGTTTCATGCTTTTTTCGGCCAAAATAAACAAATCTTAGTTATGGGTATGGAAAGATTGACAGCAAATAAGGTTATTATCATGCTTGCTCGAATACTGGGGGGTGTTTTACAAACATCTTAAGTTGAACTTAACTCTAAGTTGGACTTAAATATTATGGAGAGCCATTTGTAGCCTTAAAATTAAATATATTCAAAAGCAAAAATTCAAGTATTTTAGACTTTTTATAAATTCCACATCAAGAACATGAAATCTCCTTGATAATAGAACATATGAATGATTTGAATCAACATTTTATGCCTTTTAATTAACTTTTACAAAATATTTTCATAGATGCTAATGGCTTCCCATAATTTTTAAGTCCATCTTAGAGATAAGTTCAACTTAGGATCTTTGTGAAACACCCCCAGCTCTATCATTTCAAGGAGTTTATACAATGCATACAGACTTGTTACTAACAATGTCCGACAATTACGGTACGTATCTCGAGCTTTAAATGGTTTCATTACTTTCATATTGAAAAGCAAAATATAATACAAAAGAAGCATTTCATTTAAAAGCGAAAACCTCAACAAGACATAACATGAAAAAAAGAACGTATCATTTCAATCAAACAACCAAGCTAACTTCAGCAGTATCATACATTCTAGGCTGCAATAAGTAAAACAAGAAACTGTGACTTCCAAGCATTCCTCTTCTAAAGCCCCACTGCACTACTTATAGCTACTTGCGCCCTATACATCCAACAATGCCTATACTAAGCGGTACCCGTTGATCCCCAATGATGCCCTTTTTATTATGGTGATTGAGAGCTGATTTGATGAAAACCACCTGCCAGTGACCTTGCAGTGAGGTCTAATCCCTCCATGCCAAATTAGTGCAAATGGGCTTAAAGATGAGTACCCATTGACATGAGGTATTCTACCATCAATATTTACAAGCTAATATGTTTTTAATTTGTACGCACACTGTGTTTAGTGAATGACAATGACCTTTGTTGCCATTCATTTACAATAAAGGAACCAAAAACAAAAAAAGAATATACCAAAATACCCCAAAACCCGGCTGTTTTTGGGTGTTTTTTTTTTTTGCTGTGGTTTACCAGTTATATCTGATATTACAATGTTTACAACGTTAAATCAAATAAACAATACGCCCGGGCTCTTAAGTTTCTGTCAAATATTGATCATGGATTTACACAGTGGCGGATCCAGCAGGCGGGAAGAGGGGGGGGGGGCCCAATCCGTGAGAAAATATTAGTTGCGACTCAGCCACCGGTGAATAAGCGGGGGGGGGGGGGGTAGGAGGTATTTTTTTTTTTTGGTCCAATTTTTCAGGAAATATTTTGCGCCGACTCAGTCACCTAATTCGTGAGAATTAAAAAAAAAAAATTGTTGTTGTTGACCCGTCAGCCCCCCCCCCCCCCCGTGGACCCGTGCCTGCAGAGGATCCAGACGGTGTCAAGGGGGGGGGGGGTAGCCAAATCTTAATACAACATTTAGTGCCGAATCAGCCGGCCGGCGAATAAGGGAGAGGGGGAGGGAGAGGGGGGGGGGGAGGGCCGGAATAATCGCTACGTGGATCCGTCCCTGGATTTACATCAAATTTACATCAATGATGAGCAATTGAAAGGGTTTGCTAATCACATCGGCTTCTTTCACTTGGAACGATACGCTGACCGAATCGTAATTAGTCAATACAGCGATGCCTTTGTGACTACCGTCCTTCGTCCAGTAGAGGGAGCCATTGAAGTAGCTGATATCTCGCAATAGTTCTTGCTCTTCTTCACTGCCGCTGATGTCAGGGTCATCCATGAGGTATGCGAGCTCATTTTCGGTATTTTTGGTATTTGCGGCCTTGTAGAAAGTTCGTGTTTTCTCATAGTCACATGCGAATATGAGTGGTGGATCTCCTGCCAAAACAAAGAGAATTCGCAAATATTACAAGGAAATAAGACAAGTAATTAATCTGATGAATTTAATATTTGATTAAATACAATGAAATTAAATTAAATTTTCATTTCAATTTGTTTCATTTCATTTCTTTTCCACTTCTCATAAAAACATATAACATTTTACATAAACAGTTTGAACCAACAAAACAAAACAAGAAAATAGCATAACAATATTTAAAGAAATTTAGAGCACATAGAAATAGTACTTGAGACTGCGGTGGAGCCAACAGAGGCCATTGACCTATCAAGGGCTAGTCTTCAGGAATAAATTAAATATATGTACATGTAGGTAGGTACAAAACATAATCAAGTAGACAACAAAAGGGAAACAGGCGGTTTGTGTGAAGGAAAAGTATACACAAAGAATAGTTGAGCATAAATACTTCAGGTAGTGTAGTAACTTTTAAAAAAATCAACATATTTAATTTCAATTTATTGTCCAATATTGGAAATTTGTTTTGCTCACATTTCACAATTGCAGACCAATCAACCCCGGATTATCCTTTAAGTAAATTTAATTTTAGATACACTTCCTATAGCTTAAAAAATGCTCCTCGTATATTTACTTTACCAAGAATTAAAACGTGCTTCAAAAAGAAAAGTTTAAGATATCATGGTGCAAAACTATGGAATTAATTTCCAGTAGAAACTTAATATAAACCAACTTACTATATATACTTTCATAAGCAGTTTATAATATTTGTAATATCATGTTTGACTTTTAATAGCAAACAAAGACAACTCATTTGTTTTTCTTTTATTTTGGGGGTATATTTTTTCTGCTCATATTCTTTTTCTAATTTAGGTCTTATTTGGATTTCTCGCCTTCTAACCTATTTGTATGTATATATACATATATATATATATATATATATATATATATATCAGTACGAGAATTCTCAACTCTAACATGACAACGAGTGTTCCAGAATATGTAGAGGCGTGAAGAAAATGGTCTAGGAATGTGAGACGTAGCTGTACTTTACAATTGTATTACGAGCTTTCTGCTTGTGTGGTCTTCTTCAGGTTCTGAAGTGCAAACACATACAAAAACAAATACATGGTATGAACAAATATATATACATGTATGAAGAAGGCCTCACAAGCCGAAAGCTCGTAATAAAATTGTAAAGTACAGCTACGTCTCACGTTTCTAGACCATTTTCTTCACGCTTATATATATATATATATATGTAAATGATGTTAATCTATAATCTCCCCCCCCCCCCGCGCTTATTCAGCGGCCGGCTGAGTCGTTGCCAAATTTTCGGCCAGATTAAAAAATGTTAACCCCCCCCCCCCCCCATTAAAAAACCCTTCGTACGCTACTGGCGAGTTGTCATGAGTTGTTTCAAAGAGGCACTCGCAATAACTTGCGAATAACTGTTCTTGTAACTCGGATGAACCCCCCCCCCCTTTTGATTTATATATACATATATATTATTTTTAATTAAAAATAATAATAATAATAATGATGCTAACAGATGACCTAAAAAAGGTGACCTTACCCCCCCCCCCCCAACGGAATGTCGATCGGTCAAATTGTCAAATTCAGAGAGCAAAAAAAAAAAATTCTTACCCTTATTTTGGAGAGCGCCAATATCAGAGACAAACCTATCCGGAGGGCGGAGGGGAGCAGGGAGGGGGGCAGGGGGCACAGTGCCCCTACTTTTTCAAGTACTCAAATTTCCCCCTTTTTACATAGGAAAGTGTCCATTTATCTTCGGCCAGGGGGCCATATTAATTTGTAAAAGTGTCCCTACCCCTTTTCACCTCTTATAAGTGCCCTTTTTTGACAAGTGCCCCTTTTCACTTTTAAAAAGTGCCCCATTCACCTCTGATAATTTGCCTTATTCAAATCTGAGATGTGCCTCTTTTATTTTGAGAAGTGCCCCTTTTCCTTTGTAAGAAGTGCCTCTTCCCTTGTTAAGACCTACCCCCTTTTTAACTTGGAAATGCACACCTTTTGTTTTCACATGTTCCATTTTCCCTTTCTGATATTATTATAAAAGCCCCTTTTCACCTCTTATAAATGCCCATTTCCTATTTTCATAAGTGCCTTTTTTCATCCCTGGTGAGTCTTTTAGAAGGTAAGAAGTGCACCATTTTCACCTCTGATAATTACTCTCTGTACTTTGAAACGAGCTCCTTTTCTTTTCTGATAAGTGTCCTCTTTTCCTCGCATCATTAAACGCACCCCTATTTTCGAGCGACTTCAACACCGCCTCCTAGCGCTCACTCGCTCACAAATCTCAAAAAAATCACTATCACACTCAACTGGAAAGTACGATGCTTATTAAAGCAAAATCTTGTACTGTGTACAAAGTGAAATCAATATTGAAATCGTCCCTGATATTGTAATCACAATGTAAGGGTATATACCAATGTCTAAAACATTGCATATTTTCGCTTTGAGATTTCCTTTTGAAGGTGCCCTTTTGTTCTTGGTGCCCCCTCCTCCCTCCAACTTTGGAAGTCGCTTGGCCGCCCCTGGCCAAAATGATGCATTTCCCGCCCCTTAATCGCATATGGCTCGTAGAAAACTTGTATCACTCGTTAGAAGATCTTGATAACTCGTTGGTAGATCGGTACAAGTCGTACACAAGTCATCGCAACTCAAAACCGAGCTCGCGTGACTCGTAATGCGCTAGGTTCACTCATACATCCATCGTAGGAAACTCGATAATATGTCGTATGATAATTCATGCAAATATTTTACAAATTAGTAAATTTCAAGTGAGTTCACGCGAGTTCAAGCTCGCGCCAGCTCGCCACAACTCGAGGCTGTAACTCGGCTAAGTGGGAGCCCTGTATGTTCATTTGTTTCAGCTTATGAACCAATATATGGTTTTGAATCGTGTTAAAAGCCCACACAACAACCAATATGGATTTAAAATCAAAGTATGAGAATACAAGACAAGATTGTGTACGACTTAAAGATACTGCATGTGTGTGATATACGTGGTGTAATATACAATGGTCATTCCAGTTAATTTGGAACTCATTCTTCATACAATTGATAGTTTTCTCCTTTTTATAACCCATGGCATACAATTGTACCGTTAAATCAACGTTAAGAAGGACATGGAAACATGTATATTTCTTAATATGTAGATGTTTAAATCTGCCACTGCCAACATTGTCTCCCCGTGACTACTCAAAACGTTGATTTTAACGCTTTTTGATCCTTTTGATTTTAAAACCGTACCGATGAATTGTGTTCAACATTATAAAAAGTTGATGCCTATCCCATCAAAACAACTCTTGGTTTCTCCATTTTTAATTGCATTCTCTCATCAAATTCATGTCTTTGTCTATTTGAGAATCGTTTTAGTTTTCGTTACCTATTAATGAAATCTCTAAGAAATCCATGATAATTCAGCGTATATATACAAAATACATAATAATGCAAATACCTGTTTCTTATGAAACGTTTTAGCAACACGCTTACATTAGTATTATTACCGCAGTTATTGAATATGTATCACCTTTCTGCACAGTACAGGGCATATTTTCCACTCCATGAGGAAAAATAGTCGCCTACATGCTAATTTAACTACAATGACGTTTGCATCATACCAGGTACCCATTAACACCTGGGTGGAGAGGAGCCACATAGCTAAACTGTCTTGTTAAATTTCCATTCAATTATCTGCAATGACATGTCATTCTACTATAAAAACCCTTTTAAATATGAAGTACGTACGGCTGAGATCAATGCTCAATCCGGTGATTTTGGCTAGCCATTTGTTAGAGTATATAGTCTCCGTCTGTCCAGATCCGTTGAATGGTTTGCGCCGTATTTTGGTCTGCATTGACCAATACAGGAATCTGAAAATCAAGCGGGTCGTGATGATCAATAACAATACTAAAAATAAATAAATCAAAGTATCATAATTATATAATTTCGTCAACATCACTGTTGGTAAAAATGGTGGAACAATTTATGGAATGATTTTGACAATGATTTATGCTAATAGATCTAGATAATACTGTAGTAATGATACTTTCTCAGATGTTATTGAATAATAATTTGCGAGTGTTTGTTTTGCGTGACTGCTAAAGAATGTGTGTTCTACTTTGCTTATCAACTAGGGAACCTACGTTCTTAAGTCATAACCGACCGTGATAAGGATCAATACCTCACAAAGGGCACTAATATATCTAATCGACACGTTTTTGATATTAAAGTATAGATTCACACACATGATTTAGCAATCACGTAAAACAAATACTCACAAATTATTATTTAATACAAATCTGAGAATGTAACCTATTATCTAGATCCATTAGGAATAAATTATTGTCAAAACCATTCCACAAATAAAATGATTTCAACTTTTAATGACCAACAGTGTACAGGGCTAACCATTAAAGGTAATCGGCTATATATGAAAGGTTATATTCAATATCTTTTGTTTTAAATTAATTTGGTGTGAACCAAATGTTTTGTTTTGTTCGCAATAGGGACTCCTACGAAGATTTGTCGGAAAAGATTCAGTTTTATACCCCCTCCCCTCCCCATTATGAGTGCATTATTTTTGTTTACGACCTGCTGTTTTATATCATAGGTTATAGATATATACAGTGGCGTACGCAGGATTTTCTCAAGGAGGGGGTTTTAAAATCGGGCCCAAAATTTCGCAACGACTCAGCTTTATTATTTTGCTCCCGAAAATGTGGAAATCGCGTCGGCCAAAAAGACGCTCAGTAGGGGGGGGGGGGGGGGGGGGGGGGGGGGGGGGGGGGGTAAGCGGACAATTTTTTTTTTGGTCCCCCCCCCCTCCCCTTCTGGCAAAAAAAAAATGGGGCCAGAAATGTACTTTTCTTTTTTTGCTCAAAGGGGGCGGGGGGGGGGGGGGTTAATAAAAATATCGGTCGGCGTGATTTTCAAATTTCCGTGGAAAAAAAAAAAAAAAAAAAAAAACTAGTGCTGACTACCACCCCCACCCCCCCCCCCCACCCCTACTGCCGAGCGCGAAATATCGGACTGCACGATTTTCAAATTTCAGCACACTAAATTTCATATTTATTTCAAATTTGGGCCTCCCCCCGTAATAAATCCTGGATCCGCCTAGATGATGTACATCTATTATGAAAACAAAAATGGACAACATGGATACCACGCCAGACTCACCCTTCCTCTTCATCCACTTCTAAGGAATACAGATCTTCAGTTATCCCGGTTACAAAGTCCTTCTCGGACCTAGGAAACGAGGTCCCTTTTGCAATCGATACTGATGTTATTTTCCTCGGACTTTTATTTGCGATGTAGAGAGTGCGAGATGTCTCGGCAATAGCAATTCCTCTTAGTTCTGTGATTTAATTAAACAAAATAAGAACTTTCTTGGAACAAGAGAGTTGGAACCTCTTACAAATGTAATAAGGAATTAATAGAAATAGGGAAATCAATATTTATCGTATAATAACAAGGAGGTCTTCAAGCAATATTTGTTTAGATTCTATTCAATCAAGATGTAAACAACCCTTAACTTGATGGTATATAAACATGTGTACATACTTCTGCCATACCATAGGCTCTATTTACCACATGATTTGTGTAATAAGAATAACTTAGCCAGATGAGTACAATTATGTTTAGATTGTAAATACAAACAATATCACATTCTGATCCACATCATTCCTCGCGAAATGCAAACACAAATGTATAAAGATTCATAAACGACTACGTGAATACATCATACCATCACTGCTTTCAAAAGTGACATTCTCCCTGTTTCCACCATCCACATCAGCACGATAGACTCGTTTTGTTTCCTTGTCAGTCCAGTGGATCTTCTTTTCCACGGAGTCATAGGTAATATAACGTGGTTCTTTAGTGGATGGAATGTCAGTAAAGTTTAAGTCATCTTGTAGATCTGCAACAAAAATCTTGTTCTGGCTGCCTTCATCGGTCACAAAGATCTTTGCAGTCGGTTCTAAAATAAATGGGTGAAAGTAAGATGAGGTTTGTTAACGTTTATGAGATCTTTCTTGGGTGTGGAAACACAACTCAGAAAGATCACAAACTAATAACGGTATACATGATATAATGTATCAAAACACGCGTTCCATTGACAGGCAATTAGAACTATGTATGATCATGACCATATTATGCTTATGTGTACTAATATTATTATCGTGAAAGCATTCCATGTTTTAATGAGTTACTTTCCAACACTAAGCGCGTTTGTAATGAATTGAATTGATTTATTATCAATAGAAATGTAAATTCGTTGCTCACTGGTACACGTGTATTACAAACAATGTTCATAATATTACACAAATTATAAAACATAACATCAATGGCGTCACATCAAGCAATACGAGCGACGTCCCACATTCAGGCATCTCACAATTCAAACGTAAATAGTGAAAACGGAAATAGTCTGTATCATAGAAGCATGATATAAGCCTGGTGTTGGTTGTATGTCGCCTTTGTTGCCTGCCCAATGCGTTAATCGTCTGAAGGATGCGTTTTCCGTATATAGTTTTCTTAAAGTGTAATTTTTTCATAAAGCCTTCAGAATGTTCGCATCCCGTCTGTCAAACCCATCACATTTTGGATGCCCATGACACTTTGGACTATTATTTGGAATTCGAGTGTAATGAAATAAGGTAGTACTATTATCATTATAATCTCTCTTTGTAAGAATATACGTTACATAACTTAACAACATGTAATTTGATCAGGGTCTACATAAATAGATAGTAAAGTTATGCGTTGGTCCCCCATGGTCCCCATTTTCTTATGTTAATTGAGAGCTGATTTGGTGCAGACAACCACCTGTAGGAGACCAAGCAGGGAGGCATCCCTCCTGGCCATACTAGTAGTAGTACAAAAGAGAGAAAGAGAGAAATAAAGTGTTATGAAAGAATGGAGCAGGAAGGGAGAGATCTAGGAGGGAGAAGAGAGAGAGAGAGAGGGGAGAGGGAGAGAGAGAGAGAGAGAGAGAGAGAGAGAGAGAGGATGGGTGGGCTGGGGTTGATACTTCAATTATCGACCTCAAAAATAGAAACACCGGTTTATCAACAAATTTTTAAAAGCATTTTCAATGGCACACAGCTTAGTAAACATCATATTCCTTCTGTAAAAAAACACGTTTTGTTCTCCTTATTATCCAATATGGCCGAAAGGACCCAAAGATATAAATAAATCATTTATGCTCCGGATGCAACTACGCTATATAATATTCGGGGTTGAGAAATTTTGTTTCTGTGTCATCCCTGCTCACTGCTTTATTCTGAGGGCAATTATTTTGTTCGTTACATTACGTTTTTGAAGATTTTCTTTTGGGCGGGACTTCTTTCTTAGCAATTTGAGGGGGCGTGGTATAATGCTGGGGCATTGACAAGGGAATCACCATGAAATTATAATCTTTTATATAGGTTGAGTAATTTTCATGATTCATTTATACCATCCATAAGGCATAGGTACAACATACCCGAGCAATTAGATGGCAAGGGTATCACCATGTAATCATATTATATCTCATATGGAAAGAGTTATTTCCATAATTCGTCGCTGTTTTCACGAAGTGACGGTAGTGAAAAAAAATTGCATTCACTTTGCGTGACGATTTTCCTCACTACCGTCACTTCGTGAAAACAATTCTACCATTCAAAAGATTGGGTAAGAGAAAAGGCATGGATATTACATACCTGAGCAAGTAGGTGGTATTAGAGACCAGCTAGCAATAGTTCCCTTGGTGTTCAGTTGACAAACTACCGTCAGGTTATTAGGGTCTACTGTGAAGCCATGACTGCAGGTGTAATTGTATGCTTCCCCAGGCTTTCCTTCAGTGATTGAAACAGACTTTGTGTTTGTACCATTTCCAGGCAAGCCGCATTTGACCTCTGATTTACGCGAAGAATGAAAAGAGAATATTACTTTATTAAATAAAGTCATATTTTATATAGGACAAATTTTGTTGTATTATTTTTATTCTTGTAATTCTACCTTGCGGTTTATATTCATTATCAATTATCGCGAGTTAAAAAATAGAAACACTGGTATTTCAAAGTTACTTTTCATTTTGGTTGCCTTTTACCCTGGTAATAGGCAACTAAAATGCTTTACCTTTGGTTAAAAAAACACGTAATTGTCTATGTTTTATGCAAGATGGCCGACGGGATCCGAAGATATAGTTTGATACATATGCTACGGATGTAACTTTGCTGTGTATATTAGGGGTCGGCATATTAGCTCAGCTGCGTTTAATGGTGTTTTAGTGTCATCCCTCCTCATATCTCAATTCTAAAGGATCGTAAATTTGTGCATGAAATTACGTTCCGTTTTGCATAGAATTGTATTATTTTAGTCTTTTAGATTTGTTTAAAGGAGAAAAGGCATGATTTGTCATTATTCACAATGTTAAATTGAGAAAGAACGTGGTAATGGAGACCAGCTAGCAACAGTTCAATCAGCGTTCAGTATATATGGGTGGTGGTATAATGCTTGGGCATTGGCAAGGGTATCACCATTTAATCATATTATATTCCATTTGGAAAGAGTTATTGCCATAATTCAATCTTACCATCCAAAGGATTGGGTAAGAGAAAAGGCATGGATATTACGTACCTGAACAAGTAGGTGGTATTAGAGACCAGCTAGCAATAGTTCCCTTGTTGTTCAGTTGACAAACTATAGTCAGGTTATTAGGGTCCACTATGAAGCCATGACTGCAGGTGTAATTGTATGGTTTCCCAGGGTATCCTTCAGTGATTGAAACAGACTCCGTGTTCGTACCATTTCCAGGTGAGCCACATTTGACCTCTGTTTCAGGTGAAGAATGAAAAGAGAATATAACTTTGTTGTTTGATTTAATTCTCGTAATTCTACCTTGCATTTTGTATTTATTATCAATTATCGCGAGTTAAAAATAGAAACACTGGTATTTCAAAGTTATTTTTCATTTTGGTTTCAGGTGAAGAAAGAAAAGAGAATATTACTTAATTTGTTGTTTGATTTTATTCTTGTAATTCTACCTTGCGGTTTATATTCATTATCAATTATCGCGAGTTAGAAAATTGAAACACTGGTATTTTAGAGTTACTTTTCATTTTGGTAATAGGCAACTAAATTGCTTTACCTTTGGTTAAAAAAACACGTAATTGTCTATGGTTTATGCAAGATGGCCGACGGGATCCGAAGATATAAATTAAAAATTTAATACATATGCTACGGATGTAACTTTGCTATGTATATTAGGGGTCGGCAGATTAGCTCAGCTGAGTTTAATGGTGTTCTGGTGTCATCCCTGCTCATATCTCAGTTCTAAAAGTTTTAAAAATTTGTGTATAAAATTACGTTCCGTTTTGCATAGAATTCTATTATTTTAGTCTTTTAGATTTGTTTAAAGGAGAAAAGGCATGATTTGTCATTATTCACAATGTTAAATTGAGAAAGAACGTGGTAATGGAGACCAGCTAGCAACAGTTCACTCAGCGTTCAGTATATATGGGTGGTGGTATAATGCTTGGGCATTGGCAAGGGTATCACCATTTAATCATATTATATTCCATATGGAAAGAGTAATTGCCATAATTCAATCTTACCATCCAAAAGATTGGGTAAGAGAAAAGGCATGGATATTACGTACCTGAACAAGTAGGTGGTATTAGAGACCAGCTAGCAATAGTTCCCTTGGTGTTCAGTTGACAAACTACCGTCAGGTTATTAGGGTCTACTTTGAAGCCATGACTGCAGGTGTAATTGTATGGTTCCCCAGGGTATCCTTCAGTGATTGAAACAGACTCCGTGTTCGTACCAGTTTCAGGTGAGCCACATTTGACCTCTATTTCAGGTGAAGAATGACAAGAGAATATTACCCAATTTGGCGTTTGATTTTATTCTTGTAATTCTACCTTCCAGTTTGAACTTATCAATTATTGCAATTAAAAAAATAGAAGCACTGTTTATATAAACATTACATTTTTTTGTGTGGCTTTTACCCTGGTAATAGGCTACTACAATTCTATGCCTTTGGTTAAAAAAGGCACGTAATTGTCTATGTTTTATCCAAGATGACCGACGGAATCCAAAGATATAAATAAATAGTTTGATACATATGCTACGGATGTAACTTTGTTATGTATATTCCGGGTCGTGAGAGTAGCTCAGATGAGTTTAATGGTGTTTTGGTGTCACCCCTGCTCATATCTCAATTCTAAGGGTTCATAAATTTGGAGCTCGTACAGGTTTGCGAGCTTCCTGCCAAGGAGATCAGGGCGTGGCATCAATTAGTGTGTAATTGAATCATTCTAGCTTGAGCTTTCAAAGAGACAACTTTTATTTACAATGAAAGTGCGTTGTGTTATGTTATGTTACGACATGACTGTGTTTTCTTAAGGTTTTCCAGATTTTTGTTATATTTTTGTTGAGTTTTACCCCTGATTTTTTTTATCCTGGACCATGGTCGGTCCGGTTTCCTGAAGGAAACGAGAAGAAATGTTTGTTAAACATGCAAACTGAATAAACGGTCGGCTTCCGGTAGTCGTTGTCAGGCTATCCCACAATAACTAAAGTGTATTATTGTGTTATTTGTTTGTATTGGGAGTCAAGAGGGATGACAGACGAAATTATATGTGAAGTTATAGGTGAGACTTTAAGATTGCTTTGCAATAGAGTACCAAAGTGATAATGTCAGAGCCTGTGCATGAGGTTCACTGGGAAATCATCCAAGCAACGGACTGGAGCAGGGCGAATTCAAAGATTGGGGCTTGTGTGATCACCATACCATTGTTTAACACAAAATTATTTGGAACATGCAACATTGACGACTATTCCTGTATGACGTCACACTTCGGTACTGTATAGCAAAAGTTGGTCATTTTATACCATCATGTGATTAATGTTTGTAATGGTTTTCAATCGTGAATCCATGGGACAAGTGATATGGGATTGCGTTCAATGATTATGCAAAGTAATGCGAACAAATGTGTGCATTTCAACAGACTACGGTCACAAAGGTTCATACGAACGATAATTTCGTACGAATCTCCCTGTTTTTCCATTGTCTTCCCGAATGAACATTGTCTGAAAATCGTTTGTACGGCGTTCGTAGCAGTTCGTAATGGCATTTGTGACCGAGGCTTTAGTTATATAATTTTTTTATTTACTTAATTTTTTTTCTCAATAGCTAATATGAGATCTCTTGATAACCTTAATCTCCAATTGAAATAACGGATATTTCCTTTGTCCGACATATTATTTTCGTCCTAGATTCAACGTAAAGTGTATTATGCTGAGATCGGACTTTCACTCCGTTGAGAAATATATACTGGACTGACCTCACCCGCGGCTGTCGCTGCAACAAGTCGACCGCGCACATAAAATAAAGCCTAGGTCACAAATGCTATTACTAACTGTTACGAACGCCGTACGAACCTTTTTCAGACAATGGTAATTCGGGAAGACAATAGAAAACAGGGAAATTCGTAAACACGAACAGGTGAAACTGTTGAGTCCATCAAGTGCTCTTTGAGGAGCATGGAACCTATTTAAGCATACACAACTAAATCAAACATAGTACAATTACAATATTTAAAAACAAATTATCATTATTGTTATGAAACATTTTATACAATGAAGAAATATACAATACCATAGGTGCGTATGATAACTTGACCCATATAGTATCAGTATTGCTAGTATTGTTTTTTGTTCAAAAGAACCTTTTCAACAAGAAGCATGTTTCTTGCATGTTATTTGAGATATTTCCTAGGCAGGACGTACCTATGATGCAGGTTCTTCCTGTATATCCGGGCGCACATTTACAAGAGAATCCATTGACATCATCCATGCAAGTACCTCCGTTCAAACACAGTGTTCCCACACAATCATCGATATCTTAACAAAAATAACATGACAAAAAAATGTGAAAACTACGTTAGTCACCTGTCAGTCTAATGTATAGTAATTGCAATAGATCCAATTTCCCAGAGGAATAGTTTATATTCTTTGTAATGCCTTCTATTATACGACCCCTCCCCCTCCCCTTGCAATAAGATGCAGATTGTTTGACTTTTAAACATTGTTTCTGTCTTATTTGTTGATGTCCTAATCATTTTAGCGTCCCAAAATACAAGATAATGTTATATATGCTATTATGATGAACAAAAGATAATTAAAAAAGAACATACAAATGAATTAACCATAAATTCATAAATTAATCGTTTAAATTGGGTTTAGACCATTACCGATGTCACAAAGCGTCCCTGTATATCCCGGTAAACACGAGCAGTAGAAAATTGTGAGTCCATCAAGTGCTCTTTAAGGAGCATGGAAGCTACTTTATCATACACAATTAAATTATACATAGTACAATTACAATATTAACCAAACAAATTGGTTCATACAGGTCAATTTAGTGGTTACCTGATTTAAATGGTATTGATTTTTTATTAACTCAATATATCTCTTCCTTATTCTTCAAAACTCATAGGGACCGAAAAGTGAAAGGTGCTATATAATTATCGTTTATTATCATTGTTATTATGAAACATTTTATACAACAAAGAAATGTACAGTACAACAGGTGCGTATGAACCATTTGCGTTAAAGCATCAGGTACCAATGCAATGGGTAATGTTGTAAGGATTGATAGTATTGTTTTTATGTTCAAAAAAACCTTTCCAACAAGAAGCATGTTTCTTGCATGTTGTTTGAGATATTTCCTAGGCAGGACGTACCTATGTTGCAGGTTCTTCCTGTATATCCGGGCGCACATTTACAAGAGAATCCGTTGACATCATCCATGCAAGTACCTCCGTTCAAACACAGTGTTCCCACACAATCATCGATATCTTAGCAAAAATAACATGACAAAAAAATATGAAAACTACGTTAGTCACCTGTCAGTCTAATTTATAGTAATTGCAATAGTTCCAATTTCCCAGAGGAATAGTTTATATTCTTTGTAATGCCTTTTATTATACGACCTCTCCCCCTCCCCTTGCAATAAGATGCAGATTGTTTGACTTTTAAATATTGTGTCTGTCTTATTTGTTGATGTCCTAATCATTTTAGCATCCCAAAATACAGGATATTGTTAAATATGTTATTATGATGTACACAAAATTAATAAAAAAGAACATACAAATGAATTAATCATAAATTCATATATTAATCGTTGAAATTGGATTTAGACCATTACCGATGTCACAAAGCGTCCCTGTATATCCCGGTAAACACGAACAGGTGAAACTGTCGAGTCCGTCAAGTGCTCTTTAAGGAGCATGGAAGCTACTTAATCATACACAATTAAATCATACATAGTACAATTACAATATTTAAAACAAAATTATCATTATTATTATTAAACATTTTAAACAATGAAGAAATGTACATTACCATAGGTGCGTATGGTAACTTGACCCATTTGCGTTACAGCATCAGTATTGATAGTATTGTTTTTATGTTAAAAAAACCCTTTTCAACAAGAAGCATGTTTCTTGCATGTTATTTGAGATATTTCCTAGGCAGGACCTACCTATGATGCAGGTTCTTCCTGTATATCCGGGCGCACATTTACAAGAGAATCCGTTGACATCATCCATGCAAGTGCCTCCGTTCAAACACAGTGTTCCCACACAATCATCGATATCTTAGCAAAAATAACATGACAAAAAATGTGAAAACTACGTTAGTCACCTGTCAGTCTGATGTATAGTAATTGCAATAGATCCAATTTCCCAGAGGAATACATGTAGTTTATATTCTTTGTAATGCCTTCTATTATACGACCCCTCCTCCTCTCCTTGCAATAAGATGCAGATTGTTTGACTTTTAAATATTGTGTCTGTCTTATTTGTTGATGTCCTAATCATTTTAGCGTCCCAAAATACAGGATAATGTTATATATGCTATTATGATGAACACAAAAATCAATAAAAAAGAACATACAAATGAATTAATCATAAATTCATATATTAATCGTTGAAATTGGATTTAGACCATTACCGATGTCACAAAGCGTCCCTGTATATCCCGGTAAACACGAACAGGTGAAACTGTCGAGTCCGTCAAGTGCTCTTTAAGGAGCATGGAAGCTACTTAATCATACACAATTAAATCATACATAGTACAATTACAATATTTAAAACAAAATTATCATTATTATTATTAAACATTTTAAACAATGAAGAAATGTACATTACCATAGGTGCGTATGGTAACTTGACCCATTTGCGTTACAGCATCAGTATTGATAGTATTGTTTTTATGTTAAAAAAACGCTTTTCAACAAGAAGCATGTTTCTTGCATGTTATTTGAGATATTTCCTAGGCAGGACCTACCTATGATGCAGGTTCTTCCTGTATATCCGGGCGCACATTTACAAGAGAATCCGTTGACATCATCCATGCAAGTGCCTCCGTTCAAACACAGTGTTCCCACACAATCATCGATATCTTAGCAAAAATAACATGACAAAAAATGTGAAAACTACGTTAGTCACCTGTCAGTCTGATGTATAGTTATTGCAATAGATCCAATTTTCCAGAGGAATACATGTAGTTTATATTCTTTGTAATGCCTTCTATTATACGACCCCTCCTCCTCTCCTTTCAATAAGATGCAGATTGTTTGACTTTTAAATATTGTGTCTGTCTTATTTGTTGATGTCCTAATCATTTTAGCGTCCCAAAATACAGGATAATGTTATATATGCTATTATGATGAACACAAAAATCAATAAAAAAGAACATACAAATGAATTAATCATAAATTCATATATTAATTGTTTAAATTAGGTTTAAATCATTACCGATATCACAAAGCGTCCCCGTATATCCCGGTAAACACGAACATGTGAAACTGTTGAGTCCATCAATACAAACACCATTGCCATTAGAGCATGCATCGGGTTTACAATCTTGTATATCTGTAATAAAGAGTGAAGCGATATCAAATCTAATGCTAAGGGAGTAACATCAGTATATATTTAGATCATTACCGTGACACTACTAAAAACTTCATCAAGTGGTCTAGTGAATTAAAAGACAAAGCAATTTTTGTAATAAATTTCTGTGTATAAAGGCAGACAAATAAGAGAAATGAAATAGCAAAAGATTGAACTGAAAAGGACCGATATTAAGGGAGTTATGAATGTACGAAACATGACACTTAACACGATCGCGACTATTTTCCTTTAAAAAAAAGGTGATCATTTGTTTTATACAGTATTTTGCATAACGGTTGAAAACGATTTAAAGTAGTAAGCAAATTATTTGCATAAGGAACTGTTTATTATCCTTAGAATATATATATTGTTTTTATATCAATCTAAACTTTATCAGTGGTGATATTACAATGAAAGTAAGAGTTAGAAATAATCTTAATTGTAAGGTGTGTCGTATCCGGCAACTGCAGAAGCGACAGTTAAAATGCGCTTATTTTACAATGATACCAGGCAGCGGAAATTGTTCATGTTCTTAGTAACATTTGATAAACAGTGGTGCATCTTACAAAGGTAATCAACAGTTGTATTCTAGTTTCATCCTTGTGATTACACAGAGTTTAGGGCATACCACTACAGCATTACCTACTTTATAACATTGAGGATAAACACCTTCGCATTGTATATTATCGGCCGAGACCCTAAGTAAAAATAACTGCAAATGACATCATGGATAAAATAAGAAATTAGTGATACTGTATTGCGTCATTTATTTGTAAAACGAGTCCTGTGTGCTTTTTATTTGCACATATGATACATCTACGTGTCTTTATCTTGTCCCTCTTCTTCCTCCTCATCCTGTTGCATCTACTATTATAGTATTAATGACTGCTTTGAGAGAAATAGTTGTTTTTATACGCTCAAGGGAAGGTTAGAATTGTGCAATTGCCCGAGGCGTGCCAAGGGCAGTAGCCCAATTGTAACCTTCCCGAGAGCGTATAAAAACAACTATTTCTCGAATATTAAAGCAGTCATTAATACTGTTATATGCCAAAAAAAAGAGAGTCAACTTATGACACCACCTTGGCCTTTATCTAGTTTATCGGCACGGTTGTTTTTTATGATTGTATCTTTGAGAGTAGACTAAAAAATAAAAAATAAAAAAACTATTGTCGAAGATGGGATTCGATCTCTTGCTTACTAATGGTAATGTAACTAAAATCACCGCCTTAGACCGCTTGGCCATCGCGCACTGTTACCATACTAAGCAGTTGTTTCTAATATATATTAAAATGGATTGAAAAAGGCTTCGCGTGCTGGATGCTTCGCGGCAGCTCCGTTAAACGGGCCCTTCTTTTAATTTTGCAATGCACATTGGCACGAACTTAGATCAAGATCTATCGGCAGATGTTGTTTTTGGAAGTTTAATTTCGTCTTCATGTCAACAATGCAAGATAAAATTGTCGGTAAGATCGATCGAGATTCAATTGTATTGAAATTATCGACCAATTCTTCGCACACGTACGGTATCCTCGATCGCTCAGACCATTTTTTAACATGTAAACCTATGGGTATTTCACCAAAACTGAACTATTTTCCCGGTAACCATGGTTACTAGGATTTTAGAACTATTACATGGTTTTGGAATTTTACCGGGAATTTTACAGGAATAGTTAAAGTTTATGAATGCAATTTCGACCAATCAGATGGTTGGATTTTTTAAGTGAGGTATATAATGCTTTATATCGGTGCCTTAGAATAAACTAACAAACAACAGACAAAACTTCACAACAGTAAGGTTTTTCATATGTCAGTGGTACCATCGTGATAATATAAGAGAATCAAGAAAGCATACTTTGGAGGCATCTGTTTCCTGTCCTTCCCTCAGTACATATGCATGTGTATCCAGCAACTCCATAAACACACGTTCCTCCGAAACTGCATGGATTTGTAGCGCACTCATCTACATCTGAATAATATAATTACGAAAAAAATACCATGTTCAAGTGATGATTTCAAGGACATACTAATATTCATTGACAGATATTATGTGAAGACAAACCGTCTTACCATCACTGAAAAAAACGTACATAAATCCAATCATGTCGTATCAAGAGGGTTAAATCCAATCATGTCGTATCAAGAGGGTTTTCAAATAGTATTATTTTATTCAAACTCTAATGCTTTTAATGAAATATCCATCTATTTTAATATTTAGGCACCAATGAATAGCGATCCTCATTCCGTATTATAAATAGTGACCCTCTACTCGTATTATGAATAGTGACCCTCTCGTCGTTTTATGAATAGCGACCCTCTTCTCGTATTATGAATAGAGACCCTCATTTCGTGTTATAAATAGCGGTCCTCATGATTAGTGACCCCAAATGTAAATCATGAATAGCGCCCCTTTTTCATGTTAATGAATAGCGACCACGATTTCGTATTATGAAAAGCTGTCTTTATGAATAATGACCCTCAATGTGAATTATGAATATCAACCCTCATCTCACCTTATGAATAGCGGTCCTGTGTATGTGTGCGTGTGAATCATGATTGTGGTAGTATTTTGGTCGAAAAAAGGGGCAAGAAGGAGCATCAGAAGTAAATATTTTAATTGTGTTATTAGGCTTGAAAGATGTACTCGGTGATTCATGAACTTGGCGTACAAGCCAGGGGAGGGAGTAGCCCCCGCGTCCCCTCGGCAATAATCGGGCAAAAAGTCACAACAAAAGTTAAAGAAAGAAGACAACAAAGCAGCGCTGAAACAATGACTGCAGAGAATCCTTCGTTATTCTTTTGTGATAAGCCTAATATACAACCATTACATATATTTAACCTGTAACGTGCTTTCCTCTGACATTTTTCCTCTGGGCATTTTTAATTTTTTACTTTTAACTTGTAATTATCCACACCAGGTATTCACATAAACATTATCAAAAAAGCTTTGAAAAAGATGTTCTGAGATTTGGAAATCAACCTATCGTTTGGATCATGTCAAGAATTGAAGAAAAGTAGGATTTTCTCAGGCATTTCATTTTAAGTTTCTAACTTCTTTAAAAAAGTCTATTGGGGCGTTGCAAGAAAGTTGCGTTTAAACGCATCTCCCCAAAATCAAGCGCAACTCTGGCGTTTAATCGCAAATTTGCGATTAAACGCCAGTTGCGTTCAATCCTGTTGCAAGAAAGTTGCGTTTAAACGCAACTCTGGCGTTTAATCGCAGATCAAGCGCAACTTTGCAATAAATTTGGAGGTAGCGCAAAATTTGCAACTGATTGGCAGTTGATTGCAATTCTTCAAAATGGCGGCTGCAAATGAAGGAGCTAGGAGAATTGTGGAGGATAAAATCGATCCCTTTGTGCAGCTCACCGACAAGAAGTTCAAGAAGAAGTATCGGTTTCATAAAGAAGAAGTCATTAGGATTTGCGGCATGCTGAATGAAGAGGATCTCGACAGAAAAACAGCAAGGAGTAAAGCCATTGGCAAAGAATTGCAAGTGTGCATTGCACTCAACTTCTTTGCTAAGGGCTCGATTTTCGACGAAATTGCCACAAATCATCGTGTAGATGTGGCAACAGTTAGCCGCAGTGTGCATAGTGTAGCTCAGGCTCTATGCAACATCAAGAAAGATGTAAGTATTCATTATGATGTTAATAAATTTATAAATTATCAACAAAATTGTTGAAAAATCAACAATAGTATGGTGGTCATGGTAACTAGCTCAGTACGTTGTGTACAATTTTTGTAACTCATTCATTTAATTGATGAGACTCCTCCACTCTCAAGTCTCAGTCTTAATTCTTGTTATTAATTTACACTTATTTTTGTAATTGTAGCAATGATTTTCCACAAAGCAAGGAATGTACTACTCTAGTCTACCCTTAAATGGGTTATATTCTTGGCCCCCCAGAGAACAAATAAAACTGGGAAAAACCCGAGAGGGTCTTGCTTTTGAACGATCACAGTTGGCCTAGGCCTACCCAGCTCCAGCTCTCCCTGGCCCGCCGGGCAGGCAGCGAGGGATTGCTGCGTGATACTCCTTGCACGCCCGTGGCAACTGCCAGGCACTAGGGTCTACACGCTCAGTATGCAGCGTTCGGAAATCTTACTTTAGGGATCTAGAAAACATGTCCTAATTCCATAATTGGGAAACAAACTGTTGATAAAAATGAGAATAGTGTCTTACCAAGTAGATGACAGTTCAGTTCACTTCTTAAGTTCTAAAGACGCTGAAAAGCTAAACAAATGCCACGATATCAACCTAGTCTAGTGACTGTTTTTTTTTTA